GAAGTCGCCTGGAAACAGTTTTCTTCGTGGCTAGAACGTTAGTTTACCTTCTTAGCTCAAGTCTCCGTTTCACCAATCGTTATTGTCAGGCCATCCCCGGACATGTCTCCTTGTTGTGCAGCTACCAGTCCGAAAGCGATTAACTGAACCGTAATATGTATGTACAACATGCAGGAAGCGTCCCCCATACTAAAAGAAATCCACTTGTTCCACTCGACAAGTGACCTGTTCCTTGTCAAGCGGAGCTCCCGCCACCAACCGCATAATCACATTATCAACGTTCTCGCGAAACCAACGGCAAGTTGGTTGGCAAAACAAGGAAAAACTGGACCATCGACTCTTAAACCCGGGCTTGGACCGCTCGACCCCGTTGGTTACCCCCGGCCGCTTCAGTTCTCTCAGGCCTGGCGGGCGACCCGGATGAGTCCCCCGTAGGATCTCAGATTCGCGCGTGTGACAACTCGCATAACACAGATCCGCAGGTCAACGATCTGCGATTACACAGGAGGACATGTATTGTCTTCCATTCTGGCTCACGAAGAAGTTTCTGAAGTGGTCGAGTGGCCTGATGGTATCCGGGCAAAGACTGTCGAACGTGTCGCAGCCACACATGTCCGTAAGCACGGGATCGGAAAGGGGTCAGAGGGGGTGTCTGGTACGGCTCGGCTCGGGTTAGAGGAAGCTTGGGCTGTCGTGGTACCGAGAGCTGAAAATAAAGAGCGCGATGTATGCCGACTTGCGGTGTATGAGATTCCGCCGACATTGTCGTACGATTCATGGGCGCTTCATCCTGCAGCATCATCGCTAGCTCTGTGCTGTTGCCTGCCCTCAATGTCGGCTGCAGGATGCGCTATGAGGAAAATCAGATAACTAGGTGTGACGCTGTCATCAACCAACCAAGTTGGTCCAGTGCCTCACCGGTGTGGCAAACGGGGTAGCCAAGGATTTGGTCATACCGGCAGCCCACCATCGTCAGCGTGGGTTGGATCCCTGTTAAGTCGAAGGGAAATAAGAAAGAACGACTGTTCCCACGTCCAACGGCTGGTATCGTTCCGTTTCGACTCACACTTTTACCGACCACTTCCATGTTCTGTTCATACACAACCACCGGACGAAGCAGCAGCTGGTCAGGGCCACCATCAGAATGAGTCCGAGGAAGACCACGGTCCAACGGGTGCGGCCATTTCGTCCATCACCCAACACAGCTTGTCCTGCAGGATTACCGACCAGTGTCGCCAGGCTGACGACGGCGTAACAGCAGCCTATGTAGGTACCGCTGTCTTCAGCGTTGCAGAGTCTGCCAAGACACGTCGCCGCCGTTGAGACGAAACTGCCGGTTCCAAATCCCAGGAGGAAAGCAACAGCGTATAATGCAGATACAGAGGTATCGCCGAAGGGGAGCCATAGTACAAGCATCGTCGCCTCTGTGAGTATCGTCATCACAATGGTAACGTTGAAAGGGCCGATCCTATCGGTGAAATATCCGGGAATTATCCTTCCCAGAGAAGAACCCCTGAAGAGTCGTGATCAGCACTCAAAGCCCCAAATCGCCAGGGCTAGAGAGGGCTAGACTCACACGCTGAATACAAGGGTCAGATAAAAGACGTCGCCAAGTTTGACTGTGTTGGCGTATGTCGGAAGCAGACCCCAGGCCACAAATAGAACCAGCTCAAAACCTGTTATGAGCCTGCATTAGGGCAGCCGTTACTGATGAAGCCGGGATGAGAAGGTCATACCACACACGCTCAAGGTAAAGAGCACAAATTCCCAGCTTCGGAAGCAGGAGAAGTCCCACAGCTTGCCCTGAGGAGGCTTGCGTATCTTAGGCTTGATCAAGACGCACCCGAGGGACAGAAACGCGCCAATTATTGCAAGATGAACCAGACTGGCCGTAGTCCAGTCAAGGTGTTTGGTGGTAAATCGAAGTACGACTGAGAATATCACGCCACCAAGTCCGCCGCCCATGGTACAGATGCCCATTGCCAACCCCTTCTTCTTGTCGAACCAATGATTGATCACTGCTAGGGCGCTCGTGGTCAATGCCGCTGCGTCCGTAAGGTTAGGTACATTTGATTACGCCCTGGGATGAATCAACGTACCCGCACCTACTCCGGCGGTGGAGAAGCAGAGGAAGAACTGCCAATACCGACTACTGAAAGCAATGCCGAGAAACGATGCGCAGTACACCGTGGCAGCAGGCGTCATCAGCCATCGAGGGCCGAATTTGTCAAACACTGCGCCAAAGGGGCCGCACAGAAGGACTGCAAGAAAGCCAAAGACGGATATAATCCACGATATTTCCGTATTAGACCAGTCTGCAAGCTGGTTTTCCTTCAAGTAGACTTGAAAAATGCCAACCGTCGTCATTAACCCGAAGGTCGGGATCATGGTTGCCGTCGACCCCACCACGACGGACCATGCCCTGCAGCCACGGTCTACAGGCTCAGTTGAGATGACATGTACTTGGTTAGTAGATGGGTATTCTACAGACAGTGGTCGAGCTTGGGGCAATGTCGGCCGGGTCTGGTCCGCTGGATCGATGTGTATCGCGGGACATCGCGTCGGTAGCCTATGAGAATTGAGACATCAGCTATCTTATGTAAAGCCACCTGAACAGCAGGCCAAAGAAAATAGTTCCATACTCTATTCCTCTTTGAGGAGGTGTTGCGGTCATTTCGTGGGCCGTTTTGTGTTCAGACGCGGTATCCATGGCCGAAGCTTCGTTACGCTGAGACACGGCATGTAGAGTGAGCTGAGTCGGCGTGTGTACACCTACGGCCATCGTCGAGTTATACTCAAGAAGCCTTGCCACAGTCTCGCAGAAGTGATAATCTAGACAAAGAACTTTGGTTCAGAACCAGCGTCCGGAGCTTCCGTCAATGATTAGAAGTTGGAACTTTGGCGGTGGATCTCAACCTGGGACTTTGGTCAATGGTGGTCAGAAAAGCCAAGTTATCATATTCAGTTCTCGAAGAAAGTTGATGAGAAATCAAAGTCTTCAAGTCGGTCTGTTGTCTATTTGATAGAAGTCACAGGTTGGCGGAGGAGTTCCATCTTGTTCGGAGGCGCGGAGGGCACTGCGCCAAGGGGGGATTTCAAAGCCCATTGCCGTGAGGAGGCCAGGCAAATCGGCCACACGAGAAGCGACCAACTTAGACGAGCCCCTCATCTGGTGAAGCCGGCTGTTCGTTGTGACTGAACATAGCAACCGAGAGCCAACGTTGCTTCAGAGTTCGGTTGAATGTCCATGTTAGGATGATGCGGCTGAATATCTCTGCATTCACCATTCGAGCGGATGAATAAAGACTTGTGTTTGACGAAATTATTCGTCGGGACCCGCGTCTATCGACTCGGTGAGTTGGTTCGATCGTCTTCCAATGTCTTGGAAATGCTTGCCGCAACAACATCCTGGTCGCGGTTAGGGACGGTAAGGTGTTGTGGAGATGGGGATGCTGTCAAGGGAGGTGGGGAGCTAGTGGGCGTCGACCAGACGCCTGGTAGCTAATGAGACGACGTCGTTTGATGGTGCGGGCTTTTTATGGAACCGGGATATATGCGAATGGTTCTTAATTGGGTGCTAGAAGAAGAAGAAGAAAGTGTGTAGGCGTGATGGCAAGGTAGTAGGCATGCTGCTTGTGCAAGAGGTGGCGAATTGGGACAAGATGCCCGTCGTCTGCCCAGGTTCCATGCCCTTGCCTCTGCTTGGCCTTCGTTCCAAATGTCCTGAGATTGTTTGGCAAAATGAGCAGCTTGCTTGGGTTGTACGTGGCTCGATAGGATTCAACCGAAGGCAGACGTTGACGTGCCCAACTCGAGGAAGGATGCGCATGCAAGATCTGTACGACAGCCACGAACCAAATCTTAGCAAGCGCCTACTTAGAGTTGTTGGTGGGTACCGTACCTTTGTGTTACTTATTCACATGTAGAAGTGACAAGGGCATAGAGCGTGGATGAGTGAGGCGGGGCTAGGTAGGTTGGGCAGGGCTTACCCGTCGAGTTGGTTGTCCAAGTCGGGCTGCTGAAGGAATGACCCTGGAAGCGCATGTTTGGTCCCCCGACCCCGTGTTTGCTTTCCCTCGCTTGTTGTTGATCTCTTTCTACACCGCAGCTTCCTCCATGATTGGGAGGAACTTTGGGAAAGCTCGTCATGTGGCCAGTCGTACTGGAGGAATATCAAATACGGCGATAGCTCCAAGAGTATCTATCCCTCATGAATGCCGTCCTTCTTTTGGCGTGTCTCACCCAGACTTGCCATATCTTCGCTCAACCTCTTTCATCTTGTGTCACCTTTCCACCTTCAGTATCTCTGTCTTGTGGCTCCCAGTTCGCACTTTGCGCGCTTAGTTCGAAGCACGCCCAAGCCATATCGCAGTTGACTGCAGCTGATGTCGAAATACTACCGCTGCCACTCCAAACCGCACAACGGCAGAACCGATCGCCAGATATCTCCATTTTTGCCAGTTTCGAGCCAGTCTAGCCTGATATTCTGATTATTTCCTGCAGCCAATGCAGGCTTGTGTCAACATGAGGTTCGTAGGTAACCTCCAGGTTTATGCGACTCGCCCGACTCGTGGCTGTCACATACATGGTTTCCGCAGGGTCGGGACTTCATCTCGTGTTCGAGCTGCCCATTCTGCGCTTGCCGAGAGGGTTGTGGAAGATCACCAGGTGCTTGACCCAGTCACACCATTTGCGAGACCACCTCCGGAGCAGGTTGACCAGTTCTGGCGTAGAGTGCCAGGGTGGGAGGATGTCTCGACAGCCGAGTTCATCAGCTACCGATGGAGCGTATGTGTTATATAATGCCGCCACTGGACCGATGGCAATAGCTGACACACGGCCAATCTTAGATGAAGAATCTGGTCGAAGGGCCAAACAAGCTGCGCCGATTCCTAGACAGGGTTTTGCCAGAGCTAATTCCCGCTCGTGGTCAAAGTGGTGTAATGGAACCTCGAGAAAAGCTGATAGTGGATATTTTTGAAGGCGTTTCTGAAGCGACCATGTCTGTTAGAGTGATGTAAGCTACTCACCAGAATTCTTGGAATCCAGACTGAACTAGTCTCTTAGGCCATACACCCTCAGCCGTATCGATTGGAGCAACCCGCGAAACGATCCCATTTTCCGCCAATTCATACCCACGAAGTCCATAATGCAGCCAGATCACCCAAAGTTGACGCTTGATTCGTTGGAAGAGGAAGCCGACTCCCCCGTCAATGGCTTGGTTCACCGGTATCCCGACAAGGCCCTGTTCCTCCGTGAGTGCATGAGATACACCTCCCGCGTCTGCAGCGTGACTGACCGCGTGCCGAAGCTCTCTCTGTGTGTCCAACCTATTGCGTATTTTGCACTCGCTCCTACGCAGTTGGTGCTAACACAGAGAGTGTGGCAAAAGCCTCCCTCAAGCCTGGGCGTGCACGATGGGAGGCCGTCTTCCAACACATCGAGCGCACGCCAGAGATCCAAGATATCGTCGTCTCCGGGGGAGATTCGTATCAACTCATGCCTGAACATATTGAGATGATTGGTAATCGTCTTATCTCAATAGACCATGTCCGTCGGTTCAGATTCGCTTCTAAGGGTCTTGCTGTTTGTCCGACGCGCATTCTGGACAGAAATGACCCATGGACCGATGCCGTAATCTCGATCTCGGACAAAGCTCGTAGAGTCGGCAAAGCTGTGGCCCTTCACACCCACATCAACCACCCCAGCGAGATTTCCTGGATCACCGAGAGGGCCAGCCAGAGGCTTTTCGAGGCAGGGGTGATGGTGCGAAACCAGTCGGTCCTACTTCGTGGAATCAACGACGACGTTGCCACCATGTCCAGTCTGATCAGAAGACTCGCGGACAATAACATATTCCCGGTGAGCAATGTAACCCATAGACCTCAAGACCTCGCTGACTCGATCCAGTACTACGTCTACCAGCACGACATGGTGAGGAAGTCGGAGCACCTGCGTACGCCGCTGCAGACGATTCTGGATCTGGAAGCCAGTATCAGGGGTTCGATTGCGGGCTTCATGATGCCGCAGTTCGTGGTCGACCTTCCTGGGGGAGGTGGCAAGCGGTTGGCAAGCACATTCAAATCGTACGATCGTAGGACAGGTGTGTCGACGTATGTGGCACCCGCGGTGACGGGCCGTGACAAGCAAAACAAGGTGTATGAGTACCACGACCCCGTCGACTCAGTTCAACCGTGAGCTTCGGTTGCGGCGTGTTTCCTGTGAGCCGCCCCTACAACCAACCGACCGCTTCATCTAAGGGCTCAGATGGCGGCTTCTGTCCTGTAACGTCTCCTTGCTCGGAAGCAGGAGGTGTGCTTCTTCCCGGTAAACTCTTTCCGGTAAACCAGAGTGCCTATCAGCAGCTTCGCCGCACTCACAAAAGCCTCACTTGTTGGAACGATGTTGGAACGAGGTTGCGAGTCCCGGGTCTAGGCTTGGCCATCTCCCTTTGCGGCGATGTGCATGCCTTGGAAGTTGGTCATGTTGGTTGTAGTCACGACTTGGCTGGCGATTGGCTAAAGAAAGAATCCAGGCTTATGTAAGGTCAATATGCTTGTTGGCGTGCGAACATTAAGGGGCAGAGGGCAGCGGGACTTGAGTTTTGAGGGGTAGTATGCGATCAGGATTGAGTTTTGGAGTCGTTATATAAGACAGCATTCTTCCAAGACTGATCGAAATGCCATGATAGAATGCCATCTGCCGTGCAACGGTACGAACATGCCACTCTTCATTCGAAACGGGAGGGCTCGGACCGTTCGATGACGGCGAGATGTCATGCGTTCGCATTTCTCGACAGCGATTCGGGCCGGCTACAGTGTGCCCGAGAAGAGGAATGTCGGACTGCATGTTTGTCTTGGACGAGGCACACCGCTTCTCGGAATGCTTTTTGATCGCCGACCCCATACCCGAGACTTCCTCTGCCCCCGTATCTCGTTGGCTGCTGTCCGAGACACACCAACAGCTGCTTTCAACCTGAAAGACAGAAGCCGCTGTGGCAACCGGGATCAACACCATGCGGGTATTTCACGTTCGTGATCTTCACCATGACGTCGGCTCGGACGATGACCCAGAATTAAGTCTCCTGGCCTGCCGGCCTCTAAATTGGGATCAGAGCAGGGTGCCGAGGGAGGAATGGGTTCCAGCCCACGAAGCAATTAGAAGAGCCCACGAGATCGATCGCCAACTGAGCGACGAAACACAACACAATTGGGAGAAAGAAGAAGCTGAACACTTCGGCTCGACTTTTCCCCACGCACTACTCACTCTCCGGAGCGAGATTTGACAGGCGTGGGAATCTCCCGTCGTAGAAAGTCCCCGTAACCCAGCGAACCAGAGAAGAATGCTTCCATGAGCCTCAAAAAGTTGGAAGCGAGCCGGTGGTGGTGGGGAAACAAACGGTTCTTCCCACCTTTTCCTTCCGTCTTGTTCTTTCTGCCCCGTGGAGTTGGGACCAAATCTGGGAGTCCATATTTCCGGTAGCCACGAAATGAGATGATCCAGCACGCTCGCCGGAGCGGCTCAAATCTCGTTCAGGTGGTTTCCCAGGAATACGGTTTTCGGGGCTTTTCTGGTTTTAGCCAACCTAGGTTGTTCGTAGAGTAGCAGTATTACTCGAAAGAAATCTAGCGAGCGCGACGCGACTCCATGGTGTTGGGAAAGGCAGAATTTCTGAAATAGAAACACGGGCGCGGCACAGCGTAGCACTCGACGGAGATATTGAAGTCGCAGTCCATCTGGGGAGAGGAGGAGCCCCGTTTTGGTGTAACATCCCGGAGGACGCCGAGGGCGGGGACTCGGCAGAGATGAAGTCGAGATTGGCTCTTTTAAACTTGGTTTTTGGTTGTTTTGGTACAGATACTGCTGGCTGCGTCTTCCATCTCGTGACATGTGCTTGTGTAAGTCTGGCTCGATCTCGTCGTTGCACAACCACGCATCACCCATCTTTGTACGTACATAAAACCAGGATGTAACGGACGACGGAGTTCTTGGGGTGGATGGAATTAAGAAGTCTGAAACACACTTACAGTTCGCGGGACACCGCGGAAAGTGGTCATGTATGTTTGTCTGGACGCATATTTGTACGACATCTCTCACCGCGACTTTTGGTGGTGAAAAGGCATGTCGTTTAACCGCTTTGCCGCGTCTTACCTTGGTCAAAGGTGCGGTCCTTTCTTCCCCAGTGCAGCAGCAGCTGCTGCTGCTGCAGGGGACCAGGGGTTGGCGGCCACAGCACATCAAACGCGCCCACAGCGGATTTGGACCACTCGCGTGTCGAGTGCTGGACGAAGAGGGCAAGGCAAGATGTGGCTTGTCGAGGGAGGGAGCGGGAAGGGCTCTCTTAGGCTCTTCTTTTGGTGTGGTTTACGGGCCTCCACTGCATAATACAAGCCACACCCGCGGACATGATGAACCTGAGCATTTGCTTTCTTCATTGTAATCTTGCTGCATACAGGTGCAAATGAAATATGTTCCGTAGTTTGAAGAATTGCGGCAGCACTTGACTGGATCTTAAATTGTCACTTTTACAGAGACGACGAAGCACGGAGGAATTGCCCAATTGCCCCAGTCCAAATCAGTTTGCCCTTTTGACAGCGGGAAGAGACTCGATTGGGAGCAGGCCCTGACTCGGCCATCTTCCATTGATTGTCTCTCATGGCTCTGCCTGGATTGAGCGACCGCAGGTCACAGGCACAAGATATTGTACGACGATGCGAGGTCCTTTTTACCTACCTGTTGCTTGCTCGCCTTGAGCTCTTCTTTCAGTTGTGGCATCTGGCAGCGGAAGAACCTTGCTTCGCCTGAGACAGAGACGGGTGTGACCTTGCACCCATTCAGCCCCAAACAAACCCCGAACACCGCCTTTCAGCCCTCGTGGATTGTGACGATCAAACCCTCTTTCTTTGTTCCCTGTCATACGGATTGGCGAGATCTCAAACATGACAGGTCGTCGGAGCCTCGCGGGAGACCAAACATGGCCGACAGTAGTTTTTGTCAACGACACTTCTCCAGCCCCCGTTGAGGGGCGTGCTTGTGCTGCCGTCCCAGGCGGTCAACGACTTTCCTTGATACTCTTCATTCCGAGAGGCACAGCTGCTGGACGGTTGAAAAAGAAAGGAACAACATGGATGACGACTTGATCCGGTTCCTGTCACGACATGAAGGATGACCTTCCCCCCCATCGCATCGCGCGGTGGTGATGCTCGATGGAGAGGGAATGTTTGCTTCCCTCGAGCCCGGGATCGGTTTAATCTGGACGCTGCCACCTCAAAACAAGGCGAATCCTGTCCTGTCTCCCTATCGTCCTCGGAGTTCCCGTCGGTCATGTTTCGAGTACCCAGTTGATTGCACGCGCAAGAACTCCTCTCTGGAAAATCGGCTCTGGGACGAGCCGAACCTGCGGTGTGCGTGCGGTAAAAGCGTGTTCTGTACATTGCATACACCGCTGAGCCCCATGCTCTCGGTGACGACGACGACGACGACGTAGTAGTAGTAGTAGTAGTAGTCTTTTTGCACTTCGCAGTTGGGGGACTTTTTCTGAGGAAGCGGTCAAGCTTTCTCGGCAGGTTTCATAGTTCCAGATGGTTTCGTTCCTTCTTCCACCTTAGCTCGGGGGCCTGACTAAACAGGGGGGAGCCGATATATGGGGTTGGGAGACATGGCAACGGCGAAGCTAGTTTAGATTGAAGCTGAGGCTCTAGACCTACTTTTCACAATATCTCATAAGCAACACGCAGTTTAAAGCGTAGATATGAAACACTGAGGTCAAAAAGACCTCGCGTGTCTTGCTCTCTGTATGTGCCGGCGACGACGGCGCATGGATCACGTACGGGTCTGTATTCTCTAGGGTTTAGCCCAGTGGAGAGAGATAAGAAGCTTGAGATGGTGAACCTCGCGTGCACGGCGGTTAGCAAGCTCCAGCCCGGCTGTTCGGCTTGAGAATTTTGGCATGGGAATATTTCCAGGGCCTGGGTTTTTCTGGGGCACTCGCTGAAGGCGACGATTCAGCGAGAGAATGGAATCATGAAAGGACGGATACGTAGCTGCCAATTAACGCGAAATGGGAAAATATTGGACCAGGGGAGAGCAAGAAAACAGAATCGAGTCGTCTTCGGCCGAGGCCAGACCCATGGCGACAGAGGCTCGAGTCGTGCGCGGTCCCCATCTTTTTCTGTGTGAATCGGATGACGGGTGTCACTGACGTTTTTAATTATCTAGACATCGCGAAACTCACAGACACTTTGGGGAAAGGCTCTTTTTTTGTTTCGTATCGTCAGATGTTTCCCGAATTTGTTTCGCGGGGCAGGGTCTAGGCCTCGAGCGAGCTCGACTCAAGCATAGATGGACCCTGGACAGATTGGCGTTGATTTGGGATGATCACTGTCTGTGTTCTGCTCATGGATGAGGATGTGCGAAAAAGGCCGGGAAAGCTTGTCGAACGTAGGTCCATCGCGACTTTGAGGATTTAAGGCAGGTGCCTTGCATAAAGACTTTAAGAAGGCTAATCACGGCCTCCACTGCTTTTCGGGAATCGATGTGGTATCGGCGCTCCGGGAAGAGAGGGTCTTCTATGCGTTTTCACCTCATCAGGGTCAGTTCATTCAAACGTTTCCCTTTTTAAACCTCTTTAAAGTCTCTAAAGAGATCACCAACAAATGATGTTTCGTCCGGTGGTCCTGTTCGTCCCATTCCGACCCCGTGGGTCAACGGTTTTGTCCGGTGACAGACTTTCGCTACCGCATAAGATCAGCGATATAGGGTCCCCCCGCCGTGGAGCGACTCATGGATTTGGATGCAGGCACGAACAGGGCAAAGTTGGAAAGACGCCGGAGAGATAGAGAGGGAGAGGGAGAATGGGCTTGCTTTGACGGAAAAAGTGGGATGGAAATGAATCATTCCAGAAGGAAAAGCGACGACCTGATGGGGTTGCATTCGATGGACGGTTGAATATAGGGCGCATAATGATTCCTGTGTGATTTGTGTGATTGTGTTTTAAGCGACCTCTTGGGGGCGGTGCAGCAGTGCATCCAGCATACACATCGTCGTCATGCAATTGATGTCTTAACGCCAGTTCTGGTATGCCGAAGCTCCGTCCGTCGGAGGAGGCAGAAGGAAATAGGGGGTTGCGCGGAGGCATCTTCCATCTCGGGGGCTTCGTCGCGTGTTCTGAGCGCCCGGCGCGTCGGTCGACTGCAACC